GGGTTGGGGTTGGGGTTGGGTTGGGTGGGGTGGGGTGGGGTGAAGAATATCTGTGACTATTTATTTTGGTGATTGTAACCAATAAACTGGTTAATTTGTGACCTAAAAATGTGAAGTTTCAACTAAATTTGTAATCATAACTCACGATCTATTAAATTATAACCTAATATAATAATTTATGATTGAGAAATAATCATGACCAAATAATTTAATAATATGTGATTATAAAATAAGTTGTGACTTATAAACTCTGTGATTTGTGATTGAAAAATAACTCGTGATCTATTAATTTGATACTTTGTGATCAATAAAGAAGTCGTGATCTATAAAATTTGTGATTTATGATCGAAAAATAATACGTAACCTATTAATTTGATAGTCTGTGACCCGCCTGTAAAATTTGTGATTTTTGAACGAGAAATAATCTGTTGTTTATTAATTTGATAATTTGTGATCGATAAATTGGTTGTAATTTATAAAATTTATGATTTATGATTATGACGTCTATAATTGTGATTAGTACGTAATTATGACCACAAATTATATAATACTACAACCTTAACATATTAAATTAATAAAATATTTTTTAATTAATTATTTAAGCAATAGAGTTTAATTAAGACCTGATTTTTAAAATAATAAATTTAATTTCTTAATTTTGAAATTGTATTTTGCAACCACCTTGTACTACCCAGTACCCACATTTATTCACCAATCGCAGCTGGCCCAGTTCCTATAGTCTCAAAACTCACATCTATTGCTGCTACTAATGCAGGTTATTACACGGGTAAATTACACCCGCTGTCAATGTACTTTCAGGAGAAAAAAAAAAAGTCAATTGGATCAATAATAATTTGTCTCGCTTAGATCGTTGAACTAATAGAAATTATTTAGTTGGGCCATATAGTCTGCATGAGCAAAGGATGGGAAATATTTTATTTTGATTATGTATTCTTTCCTTCTTTCATGGATAATCAATAACTTTGTAATATCATGAATTTATATGTTCATGCTGGTAACAAGTACATATGACATGCTATACATGCTTTAATGAAATATAAGCCTTGGTAAAATCTTCATCAATAATTGACTACATTCTGAAAATAATGTAAAATTACTTGTTAACACATAGGATTTCTAGTGTTTTCAGCTTCACGGTAAACTAGCACCGACACAAGCTTTCGCCAGCAACAGTACTTTCTGGACAGTGTATTTTGATTTTAAGGAAGGTACAATGGGTACCGTACTTCTTGTGGATACTTTTAACGTATGAGCATCGATACCTATAGAAAATAATTTTTTTTAACTTTTTTTTTTTTTAAAGTTATTATAGCACTAGTTAGTTCGTTATACCGTAAGAAGGTAAGCACCATAACTATGTAATTTATCGAAGCAAAGAATCAAATTCCTTTTTGAAAAGAGATGGGTATATCTATTTTTCCCTCATCCCTTAATTCTAATATTTAGTAAAGTTTGATGCTCCCTTTATGCTATGCCTTTGATTATTTTCAAGATTCTGCTAAAAAAAAATTCGAAACAAATTAAATATTTTCATTCTTTAACATTGGTTTGTGATGGAATTACCTAAAATTAATCCAATATAATTAAATTCATATAAATATAGCAATAATTAAATATTCGAGTAAATTGTTTAGGGTAAATTCTCATTAAAATATCAATAACCAACGTATAAGGCTCGAGACTCTCTTATTTAAAAGAGTAATTGAGTCCGTCTAAATCTCAAACAAGCGAGTATTTCCTCTTAAATATTCGATCATTCAAATTGTTAAATCTATTTTTAAATGTACTCGTTGAACAAACAAGAGTTTAATTATCATTGGTCATGTTAGATAAAGATGCATCATCATACACATCAAGATTGAGGTGGCTACTTTAAACTGGTATTAGGTACCCATTATTGAGAACACTCGAGGCTAGAGAGTAGGTAACCTGCTCTCCATTATTTTTAATAATTATGTCAACTTAGACATGACATCGATTTCTTTGTCCATTATTGTTATCATATTTTCACGTGGCTAAATTTTTTATTATTTATCATCTTGTCGGTGATTTAAATCAATGAAACGGTTCGAATGAAAATGCAATGTACTCATAGAATTCGAGCGATCGTGGAGTACAACTGTCGCTTATTTCTTCTTGAGAAATCATACATCTCTCATGGTATGTTGAAAAATAATTTTATAATAAGAACTATTCGTGTAAATGAGGACATAGACCTCGCATCCACAATCATATGACATTGAGCATAACTAAAATGAGATGTTCAAATATATGAAAGTTTCCATCTATCTTATGATGCAATATGTTAAATATGACATTTAACCATTTTTAAGTTTTCGCAACAATTATCCCCTGAATATTCTATATTACACATTTTCACGAAAGATAGAACAGT